TTTCTGGAAAATTAACATCCGTAAGGGGGCCAAGCATCGAACAACACCTGATCTCTAACCTCTCATGCTCTCTCCTCTGCAGGCCACCCCAAGATCGCCGCTTTCCTGACCCACGGCGGACTGCTGTCCATGTTCGAGACCGTGTACCACGGCGTGCCCGTGGTGACACTGCCCGTGTTCTGCGACCACGACGCCAACTCGGCCAAGGCGCACGACGACGGCTACGCCATCCGGCTCGAGCTGCAGCACCTGTCCGCCGACGAGCTGCACGCCGCGCTCCAGGCCGTCACCGAGGACCCCAAGTACCGGGCGGCGGCCAAGTACCGCCAGGCCATCCTGCGGGACCAGAGCGTCGGGCCGCTGCGGACGGCCGTGTACTGGACCGAGTACGTGCTGCGGCACCGCGGCGCTGCGCACCTGCAGGCGCCCGTCAGAGATATGCCTCTCTACCAGTGGCTGCTGCTGGACGTCATGGTCGTGTACGCGCTCATCGCCTACGTCGCCTACAAGACCATCGCCAGCATGGCGCGATTCGCCTACCGGAGTGTCGTGTCGGCGCCAGCCCCTAGAGCCAGCAGCAAGGCGAACGGGGTGCTCCCGAACGGGCTCGCCAACGACATCGCCAACGGCGTGGCAAACGGCATCGCCAACGGCGTCGCGCACAGTCTGTCCAGCGGGGTCACCAGCGGCAAGAAAACGAATTAAACGCCCGTGCCTAACATCGATTTAGACGTACGGTAAAGAGCCAAAAAAATGAGCCGTTATGCTAACAAGTTTTATTTGGAAGGCAACCGCATTAAATTCATACCGGTGAACAAGCTTTTTCTTTTAATCAAGCAGTAACTTATGACTGCATCGACTGTGATTGCATGAGTTGGAAGTCACTTCCATTCATGCCTAAATGTATAATCTAATGTGTAAATAAGAGTTGTATATATTATGTTTTAAGATGTTAATGTGTTGTCCTATATAGATTTAACGGCTATCTGTTCCAGTGATCTGTATTGTCAGCAGTATAGTACTGAAAACTCACGCCAGGAGTAGCAACCTTAAGCTCTTGATTTCTTTATATGAGAGTAAGTCAAAGTAGGTCTCATAAAGTGTTAATGCTAATGCTTCACTTCGAAGTATGTGCTGATTTTGTGTTTGATAAAAAGGGATAAGTAAATCCAATCCAGATCTGTAAAGGTGCTAGATTTAACTTGTTTTGAACTTTTTAAATATCTAGTTAATCTAGTATCAAAAGTAAACTTTATAATGAAACCATATGGAAGAAGCAATTACACTCTTGTAAAATCTCGTGATTTCGAGGGTATTTTTTAAAAACTATGACAACTGACTACTACAAATGTTAACTTAAAACAAAACGAAAAGGTGATAGAGAACAATTAATTTGCAAATATTCGACCAACATTTAAGACTTAAGCTATGCAAGTCTATAGCTACGAAAAAATTACTATTTTTGCAAATCCGAAGTATATTTATGTTACTAGTGTTGTTGCTAAATATGGTGTATTCAATGTCCCATGGGACCAAAATAAAGAGAAAGACTAAATAATTCGACATTTATTGAAAAATATTTGACTTACGCTGTATTCCTCGCTATGCTAGTATCTACGTGCACCACATACAGAATCAGAATACAATCAGAATGGTCACACTCAGTATTCCCATAGCCACCAAGTCACAGCCTTAAAGGTAATAACAATTTCTAATGAAATTTGGCTGCACCTGACTTTAGTACCTAGACAACTTGGAGAAAAGATCTGATCAGGCGACGGCAACTAAAACCACGAAAACTCGAAAACAATGACCGCGCTCCAAAAAACACACATTAAAAATATGGTAACTTACAGAAAAATCACGGTCATGGTCATGCTGTCACTGCAACGGTGACCTTATATTACATCGAACTAAACTTATAATACATCACGAGAAATGCATAAACATTGTAGAAGTGAAAACGTAATCACTGGATCGTTTCATACGTGAACACTGATAAGTAAAGTGTTTAACTGACGTGCACATGCAAGTGCTCAACACTATGTTGCACACGTTCAACTGTTTCACTTGATATTTGAATACTATAAAGTGTTCAACATTAAACTTGAACACTTAAAAGTGTCCAGCATCAGACATTTGAAAGTGTTCAACATCAGACACTTAAAAGTGTTCAACATCAGAGTTGGCTATGAAGCTTTGGACACAGTAAAGTGTTTACATGTACTGTTGAACACATCGATATATTCAAATATCCAGTTAAACACTAAAGAGTGTGCAACACATTGTTGAGCAATTGCATGTGCACGCTAGTTGAACACTTTATTTCTTAGTGAAAACTTCCAAATGTGGCATGATTTTACCATGTTTGAAAATGTGGTTAATAACTACGACAAATTTATAGAATGTTACGTTGTGTTTCTATGGAAACATTCATGCATGCGTTTCTTATACAATTACTTGCCAAATTTCCCGGACATTTTTGCATTTCAAATACTGGTGCTTAGTGCCACTTGTGAATATGTGCATACGGGCCCTAGTGACCAATAAACACGTTGAAAGGGTGTGGGGATTTTCGCATGCTTTAGGTTGACTACCGCAAAGGGCATAATTCCCACACGACGCCATGACCCGCATGGCCTCGTGGTTCTACTTGCGCACGGATTTCCAAGAAACGCTTCTACGAAAACTCCCATTGCTTTATCACACAGTTCGCTTTGGTCTTACAGCGTCTTTAGGAACATTAAAAAAATAATAGAGGGTGGAGAGGGAGGTCCGACGATGGCACACGCCAGTCGCTTGTCAAGGATAATAACGGTTTTTCGCGAGACCCGCCATACTACTCGAACCCGTAGCCATACCTGAGCGATTCAGTCAGCAACGCATATTACATGAATTTGAGCAAATACCTCTCACGGCTCAATGACGCCCATTCATCTCCTGTACTTTCGTTGGTGATGGCGTGATGGTCACCGACTGCCGTTGAAGAATATAGACGGCTAGGCCCCCCAGAGCGAGCAGGCAGCCCAGACCGACGCCTATCCACCGACCAACAGCAGCGATGCGCAGCGTTCTGAACAGCTGCGTCTCCAATAGGTTGACGAAGTCATCCGGCAGATCGACGCCCTGATAAGACATAATATGAGTGCACCAATGAACACACTGAGACGCGCGCATTGAATATTTGCAAAAGTAAATTTGTTCAATACAAATAGCCCGTGATCTAGGAGGTTCAACTATCATGGTCCATATTTGTTTCAGAGTCAGCGTTCGAGAGACTACAGGATATTCGTACCTCTGGTACAAATATTATGGAGTATCTATAAACTGGTGATCCTACACACAAAAGGGACAAGGCCTATGATATTTGACTCCCCTAGGCCTCGAAAAAATGGTACGACCCACTACCTCCTCGATCCAAAAAATCGGAATAAGAGCAGTACAAAATGTTTTCATGACGGCAATTTTAGCCACAGGATGCGTGAAGATGTTGAACTGCAATCGTTTCCGAGCGCTGACAGGGGTAGCTGTCATCTATCAAACAACAAGAAAAATTACATTAGAGGGGCATTCTTTATAACTGAATTCAATACGACTACATCTGAATTGTCAATTGCACGAGCGATTACCGGCTCAAAAATCATGTTGATGCCGTGCTTGTCTACATCCGGATGCAGACCTTTGACCATTTTTTGATAATCTTCGTGTGTCTCATACAGATGTGGGAGTGAAGCAGCGATCGGTGCTCCTATGGGAATTGAATAAGATATTATACACAAACTCAGTAACAATTAAGGTACGATGGCAGTATTTAGACCAGTACCTGCACACTTTGTAAGGTCTATAATGCCCTTCTTTAAGCATTTATCAGGGGCAGGGCAATAGCACTGCATTTCAGGATCAGACGACATGTCCCCCAGGGTGGCTGTATACCGATTGCCGGGAATTCCCTTGAACACAACTTCTTTCTCGAACTTTGCGCCGATAGATCTGTTGAAGAACGATAGAACAATCTCACGTTAAACCGTCTGAATTAATTCTCATCGTTGAATTGAATCTAATCAGAGCAGTATTAATTACACAACTTACAAGCAAAGATCCGTGGAGAAGGCGACAATATCATTACTTTGCTCTAAAAATGGCGGGAAAATTGTGGAATCCGTGCCGGTCGGTGTGTTGCATGGGTCTCCGCTCCACGTGGTCATCTTCTCCTTATCATTGACTTTGACAACCAGGCCGACCTCTTGAGGGTCAGTCACTCCCCGTTTTACCTCAAGCTTTGTTGCGTCCGGCGTCGCATTTTTCTAACGCAAACACTCTACATTATTCTTTTCATAGACTTGTTAAAAAAATTCACTTATATTTTCTCGCTTAAGCATTCTGAGTAAAGGCTGAGGGACTTACCATTCCAAAAAAGGAGAAGAGGAATATGTCATCGCCCACTGGCTTGAGTCCCGAGGGATTTGCACGGATCATCGTGCATATGGCAGCGGTAGCGAAGTCTTTGGAGGTACAGTTGATCGGCACACCGTCGAAAAGAATGTCGCGGGCCTTCGCAGTGAGGAACGGCGTCGTTGGGTTGTTAAACAAAAATTTAATTCCCTTCGCCAGTAGATTTAACGCTCCCGGTTTCTCGCGCTCCACTGTATAGACCATACTCTGAAAGATCAAGAAAATAACAATGTTAAGGAATGAAAGCCGACACTTCTCTGGACACTTCCACGGCAATGTTGGGTACTCAACTCAACAGCAGCTTACCAGCATAGCGGCATGTGGGATGGTGATCATTTCGTCGCCAGTGAGCGGCGCGCTTATAGTCTTGTTGAAGAAAAAGGTGTTCTTCATGCGGAAGGAGACAGTGTCCTCTTCAGGGTGGTCCTCCAAATTTACCTTCTCCTTCCACTCACTTCCAAATAATGTATTGGTTAGTAAAAGTTATTCACTACGCAACATGTTTTAGGAGACAGATCGCAGGGAAAATAATTTTCCTTACTGATAATAGTAGGGTCCAACTTCCGTCACCGTCGGAATTTCTCCTTTAGCAGCCTCCTCGGGATTTGTCACGTTGAACATGTAGACCTTAAAATCTATAGCGATTGGGGACTTGGACCACATTTGCCTCATGTCATTGGGTTTTCTGAGTGCAACACTCTAAATTCAAATGACATAAAATTAAATAGATGAGGGTAATCGGACTAACAGCAGGCAAATTTAATCAAAACGGCTATTTACCTTTGAAATTTTCATGCTGACAAGTGCTGGAAAGGCGAACCATCCTACAATTATTGATAGGATGGCTATGATGATGCCAGCAATCATAATTTTCTTCGCAGTTCCCTTATTCATGTTTCGGCCGGTACGGTTCTGATTTGCGCAGGAAACAAACGGAGTGGTTTACATTTACTTCCACCCCATACTAGATTCTGAAATTTAACAAGCAGTTAAAAACAACTAAGCTATAGATTTGTTAACCCCCGATATTTATTAGGAGGTTTCGTCTTTCTCTGATCTACGCAATAAAGCAGACATAATTTTCCCTTTCATAAAAATACATCGTATTTGATTGCGTGGTTGGATCCCTCTCAAAGGTTTTCAAGTAGTTTCTTTGTCATTCAAGAAAAAAACGTTTCTGCCCATGGAGAGTGTTCGAAAATAGAAAAGTTGAAAAAGAAACGAGCTCTGATTTGAAAAGGTGCACCGTCTAGCAAACACGACACTAACTCGGTGCATAAAACGGTTCAGATGGACTTTCAGATTAAGATTCCTAACAGGAAAAAAAAAACTATTTTGCAGGACACAAATAAACCAGCCCCGATGTACGAACATATATACGAGTAGTTGGACAAAATTAACGAGAGAGTTTAATGACAAGTTATTTCAGTGCACCGGAAGCTACGCACGGCCATCATTCGGGTAACCCCCGTGTGGGTAATAAGATACTAGAGCACAGTTGAGCCGTGACGGACAGAAGTGACATCACGCACGATAACCAAACTAGGAGGTAAGGACCATGTACACAGCCTCACCCAGCATTGCTGCTTTCATTTCAACCAAAGCTTTTAAAGAAAATGTAAATTGGGAAAATCCTCAATGGTTTAACTCGATCATACGACTCGACTCGTTTTACAGCTAACTCATGATGAGTTTAAACTTCTGTCACGCCAAGTGCACCACCAAACCGCCTATCCAGTGTGGCTTCTGGTCGTGGCTTCTGGTCATGTCTTACCCTGTCCGGGTCGAACCAACTTTAAGTTAAATCCAAATGTAAAATGTCGGCCGGTGCCTGACTGAGGCGGACGCGATGAGCGATGCGGCGGGTATGGCAGCACAGTAGCGGGGCGCCGGCGACAGACGACGTCCGTCCGCGACGCCCAGGTGGAAGGGGGCCTCTCGGAGAAAGGAGAGGGGGCGGTAATTGGTAAGAACTTGGCCGTGATGCCCGGAGAAAGAGCCACGTCTGTGCATGCAACATTGATGGCTCGACGAGCTCCTATGCATGCCCCAACCAGCACACCAGGGCAGCTCGAGTTCAGGTTCGTGGCCTAGGCCTGCTTTTGGTCATCGCCAGCTGCGCCGTGACCCCAGCCCTGCCCTTAATATTCAGAAAGGACACAAGAAGTAGACCAATCAAAAATAATGTATATATCGGTATAAAAATGAATTTTATTAGGACGCTGTGAAAAGTGAGTTGAAAATGAGAGCTATACAAAGCTTAAAATATACACCAAAAGAAACATACTTAGCAAAGTTTTAAACACTTTTCATTATGATCTTGGCCCTGCAGACAAGACCGTTTGGCTAAGAACTTGCTCTGTAGATTCATGTTCTAATATAGTAACAATAATTTTTGTCCCATGTGTAGCTCATACATAATTAATAATACTTGAAGTAGATTTAATTTACTGTCGGGGTTCTGGTCACTATGAATAAATACGGAAAAAATTTAGAACAAAATTCGTATCGCATGAAAAGTTAGTGAGCAGCGTATTGTACTGGTGAGGAAGTGAAAGAAACACAAACAAGGGCAGAAAAAGAAGAGCGAGGCACTGATAAAACAAGTGTGCAGTCCGCATAAACACTGGTAAGTGTGAAAATCCAAGTCGTTCGTTTGTCAGCACTCAAATCCAAGTAGTTGCATTGCAAGTGTGCAACTGCTTTGTTAAACACTTCCTACACAGTGGGTGCATCAAATAGAGGTAAGTGTTCAGAAGAGGAGTTCAACCGTTTAACACTTAGAAGAACCCAACCATCGAGTGGAACACTTCCAAGTATTCAACTTTGGAGTCGAACAATGTTTAGCAGTTACACACTTGACTATTCAATGTGCACACATAAGGGGATAAATAATTTAAACTTAAATATGAGTCCACGTGTAAGAACGACGGTGGGCCTGTTTCGTGGCACAACTTTAAGAAGGTGACTTATTAAGAGTTTCGTGACTAAACGTCTTTAGCGGCCCATCATCTGATATTCCCGCCGAGAGAAGGGGCGAGACAAAAGAGAAAAAAACGGAGGGGGCGTAACACTCCGTAGTATTACGGAATACTCTGAAATGTCAGGGCACCTCGACCGATGGTGGGGGAAGCTAGGTGGAGGGGTTGTTCTGCGATCGTGGAGATGGAGGGGGTCAGAGAAGTCTTCTGATTGGACGCCACTGGGTCGCATGCACATCATTGACCAGCGACCAGCCTCACCCGCCCGAGGTGGTCAGGACTCCCTGCACGGCCAAAACGAGCCCTGGGGTCCCCAGGAAAGTTAAAATCGTCACAGAACACAGGAAACAAGCAATTATTCCCATGCGTGCTACTGGAAAACTCAGAACATCCCCTGGGGCACATGCTTGTTTTCTAGATAATCCCCTCAAGACTCTTTCAACTCCCATTAAAAATGAAGAAAACTGCTGGGAATAACAGTTTGTTTAACCGTGTGCCCATACCCTGTTGACAATCATTCAATCATTCAATAAGCCATGCCGATTATTACCACATTATGCTGTTTAGAATGGAGTTTGCTTAAAAAATGAGCCCGGTTTTCGATCACAGGATCACCCAAGCCGAACACGTTAGTTGGTTTCTAAACAAAGTGATGCTTTGTAATTGCGAAGCAATGCTTGCAGTGCTTTACATTCCGCAAAGCATCGCGATGTGATTGCAAAGCAGCGCTTTCTCATTGCCAAGTAAATGCTTTGTAGTTACAAAGGATGAAAATCCCTCGCACTTCGCAAAGCATTGCTTTGGAAGAATTTACCAGTGTATCACACGTCGCCCGTCGCCGAAGCCATGAAGCATGCATAGCTTTTCTTCCCAATAAGTGGAACCCCGATAACTGACACAGCGACTGATATGTTTTCTGTTTTGTTACGCGCTTACTCTTGTCGAGGAATAGGAAAATTATTTTCAAAAAACTAACTAGTTACAGTTGCATTGATTTTTTTTTTGTTACCAAAAATGATACTTTTTTCCTGTACTTCGTTTTACTGTTATACTTTTTCTTGAATATTGTCCTAACAGTTAGTTTTTCCTCCAATGAATGCATTTAGTTACTGATCTTTACAGTTACCTCAGTAGTTTTTAAAGCAAATTGGTCAGAGTTTTAAATTGATTATTTCGTAAATGTCCTTCTGCGTAGGGATAAAAATGTGTGCATGAGAGAGTCGATCATGAATCATTAAAAAGGCTCGTCGCATAATTGACAGTCAAGAGTCAATAAGAGGCTAGCGGTGGACGGGCGTAAGCGAATGAGGAAAAGCAGGACAGTAATCCGGACCCTCGGCCCCAGCCTTGCTCCTCATTCTGTGCTCACTGATTTATGAAGTGTTCAACACTAAATTGCACACGTTTAGTTGTTTTACTGGATATTTGATTACTAAAAAGTGTTTAAGTTGAACACTGAAAAGTGCAACTCTGGGGTTGGCTATTAAGCTTTGGACACTTCAAAGTGTTCAAATATACTGTGGAACAATTGTAAGTAATCAAATTTACCGTCCAACACCCAAGTGTGTGCATCATAGTGTTGAACATATAACCATGTGCATGCAGTTGCACACTTTATTTATCAGTGCAGCGGCATCGTGCGGGTCGTTCTCGTTCAGCACACGTACTGCATGACGCACACCTTGCTCAGTTCGAGACATGGAACACTCAAACACTTAAAAAGTGATGGTTAATTGAGGAAATTGTGTTTAGAAGAGACAAAATTCAAAAACATTGAAAATGGCTCGTTTTCTGAGAAAACGTCAGTGGAAACACAAGTGCGCAACTGACATCCATGTTAGTCAACAGCTCTGTGTAACTTTGATCGCTGCGCGCACGAAAGATGCATGTGTGTGTGTGTGCCCAGCCCGGTGACACCGCATGATGCTCCATGCCATCGGCTGCTCATGCATGTGACTCGCACCGCTGAAAAATGGAGGCGGCAGAGTCGCTCTGTGGTCTGTGACGTCAACACACAAAAGGGCGGCTGAGCAGAAGTATTGTCAACGGCCTAGAGTGAGACACTAAGCAGGCACGCCAAGCCAGGTCATCTGCGTGCTGTGGAAACACATGACACAATCCGCGGCATAGAATTGAAAATGGTCGTGCTGCATGTAGGTGAGGGGGCGACGACGACGCCACGGGCGACGGAGAGAGAAAGAGGAGGGGTAGAGACAGATAAATAAGTTTTGTACCTGCGGGCCATTACCGCCCCAGTGGTCGTTAGTGCACTTCCGGTTCACCCCCAGTTCGCCTAACTGCACACTTGGTGTGCCATGAGGGCGTCCTTTCTTTCCTTCCATCCAGTAAGGATGTGACGAGGCACGGGACCATTTTTTCCCCAATTTAGGGCGGCCCAGACCTAAAATTAAAGAACGTTTCCCTTTTTCGCCCTCCTAGTTACCGAAAGGGCACTGCGCTGCAGACCGTTGGGAAGGCGTCCTCGAGGACTTTGCCAATTATTACCTTTCTCCAAGAGGTTTGTCGCAGAACGCGCCGAGCCCAGCAACGGCTTCAAGCGGCTTCAAGACCCGCATCACGCCAAAAGCGAGTCGTTAGAGTTAGATTGCTCACTAGACATCGCAGATATTTTTGCCTACCACGACACTTAAACCGGTAAGGAATATGTAAAAGAAAAATGATACGTTTCTTAATTACTTTTTTAATCAAACACACAACTCATGATATTCTTCCCAAACATAATCACAGCACTGAGTGCTCGTTCGCACTCACACGCACTCTCGCTCTCACTCACACACAAGGCACACACACGCACGCACTCGGACGTCCCTAGCGGTGCAGCAGCAGCGGCGAGTGCCCGATGTAGGGCGCGTGCGCCACGGCGATGGGGGCGTGCACGGCAAGGGGCGCATGGTAGGCGAGCAGCGGCGCCGAGTGCACGACGGGGGCGTGCAGCACGGGGGCGGCGTGCACGATGGGGGCGTGCGCCACGAGCGGCGCGTGCCCGATGGTCAGCGACAGCCCGCGCCTCTCGCGGCCGGGCGCGGCCGCCGCCAGCGCTACCACCACCAGGACCAGCTGCAGCAGTAACGACATCATTACATCGGGCAAAAGAGGGAAAAAAAATGTATTTGAATGTGGGTTTTGATAAATAAAGGACCGTTGTGAAATGTCTCACCCGCAAACGCAAAATTTTGGGAGGAAAACTCTTATTTATTTCGCGTCACAATACTGTCAATAAACGAACACCGAGCTAAAATCTTAACTGTGCCGCTGAGCGAAATATCTTCGTAAATTTACAACAAATGTTGGATTTATGATTTACAAAATATGTTCAAAATTTAAGACAACCCATTAATGCTCGTCACTGGATTTTAAGTCGATACGTACGTACCATGTAATTTTTAAATTGTACTTTTACAAGACACATCATGGAATAAATCTGTGCAACTCGTACAATTATGTGACAGTGCTGCGCTCACAACACCCCACCGCCGCCACCGTGTACTCACGAGAATCTTCATGTCGTCTATCGGGCTCGCGTTGCGATCTGCTGCACTGTGGCTGTATCGACGGCTGCCTTGTCGACACTCCAGTTTATAAACCTGCAACCCCCTCCCCCGTTCCCTCCCGGACTCCAGGGGCTCGCCCTCCCTCCCCCCACGCGGGGCTCAGGTGGCGAGGGTACCTCCCCCTCCCGACAAGCACGTCGTCGTCGCTGCAAACAACAGGCCGCGAGGATGAATGGAAGACCACTTTACAATACTCTTCAGTTGTGACTGCGTGCGACGCGGTGCGAGGGGAAGGGAGGTAGGTGTAAAGCTGGCGAGTGGCATATTGACGTCCGGAATCAGGGAAGCGACACGACGCCTTGTCTGTAATCACAAAGAGGCCCTCTCGGGCGCTCTATTCCACGACGAGGAGCAAAAAAAAAAGAAAAAAGAGAGAGCGAGATAAATGGGAGGAGGTGGGGAAGGGGGGGGGGTGAAAGGGAGGAACGAGAGGGGGCGTTATGGACGGACATATCGCTTTTCGATATTCCCGACAAGCAGTGCGGCGCTGCCAACTTACGGTGAGTCAGTCGGGGGCCCTTCCCTTTAGGCAGGGCGCAGCAGCGGCGGGGATGGAGTGTGGTGTGGGGTTGGGTTGGGTTGGGAGGGGAAGTGCTGGCATACAAAAAAAGTAAGGGACAGCGAGCGTTGCGTTTGAACAAGGTCACGCTAGCCCGACGATGGTGTCATTCGCAGAAACGGTTCCATCGCACCTCGCACCACCCTTCGCAGCTTTACGACGAGGACCGCCCTTTCTCTTGCTTTCCCTCTATCCCCTACACACGCTCACACACGGACACACGCACGCACGCACACGCGCAAACGCGCACGCGCACGCGCGCAAACGGCGGCTGGCCCAATTAGTTCATGCGGCCGTGCGTATATTTACACTGCGGGCATCCCTTTGGTGCGACCGGGCACCGCGGGCACCGCGGGCACCGCGTAGTACTGTGTGTGTGTGCTCGCGCCGGATCAGTCGCGCCACTCATTGACGTGATGTCACTGGCGTACACTGTAAAAATGAAAAGCCTATGACGGGACTTGTAAAAATAAAATAAAAAAAAAAAAAAAAAAAATGCCAGCGAACTGAAAGTTGAGTTTCAAACTGTTAATATTATGGCACGGAAGTAATGGATCTGTATATTATACGTTCGCGTTTACAAAGCTGCTTTCCAGAGGCAGCCAACGGCCCGCAGAGCCACGGCAAACCAGACCGGCCAGTCCTGGGGTTGCAGTCCCGCACTTGCGACAGCCATACCGCACAGGCATGTCCACGCCGCCGGCCGCATGGCAGCCATCATAACGCACAGGCAAGTGTGCGGGCATTCATTTGTGTACTTATGGGAATGTTTTGTGGCTAGAAGTATCTTTTCTCGTCGGTCGTAGGGTTCTTATAAATAAATTGATTTGTTAAACGTGTCGCTTTCGATTGATATGCGCTGGAAAAAATACAATGGGCATTGTAGTACCATTTTCATACTGCACTAGTGGCTCGAGCCACGGATCCGTATAAGCGTTTAAAGCCAGCCAAAAAATTGCACCTGTGAGGAGCAGTGGCACTTGTCTAGAGGCACTGCTTCACTAACGCACTTTGAAGTGCAACACATAGAACACTGTCAAAAAAATCGTCGTAAATTTGCGAAATATTTTGTAATTACTATTTACACAAAATAATGTTGTAAACTTATGACACCTCCAACTCGCTCGTCGATGAATTCTAGGTGGATACACAAGGCTTGGAATTTTACAATTTTGAATTGCAATTGAAAAACACGCTTCAAGAAATATTTTTTTCCCAGTTAAAACCTACAGCTATTTTCCACACAGCACCTTTTGTTTTTCGATTGTAAAGCACGATATTGCCGCACGCAGAGTCGACAACTTGGTCAATGAATGTGTTCTTACAGTCAAGAGTGAAGACGAGGTCAAAGTCAAACACTTTTCGCGGTAGACGAATACAGCAGTTGCAAATATTTTGTGTGCACTACTGTTGTGCACAGAGAGGGTCCGCCACAAGGTGCACACGCGCACATGGGAACGGGCCTGCGAGGCTGCGGCAAGGTGGGGGTGCCCGCCCAGCCCAGGCCCGCGCTCCCCCAGCAGGCGAGGGGGAGGGACTCTGGAGGAGGGGAGCGGGGCGAGGTGAGAGGGGCTTATCCAGGGCACATTCTCACGTTTCGAGCGAGCAGCGCCGCCGCGCGACAATCTGAGAACTGTTTTGTTGCGCACGCTGCCGTCATTTTAACTCCGACGGCGGCGCGCACCTCAGTGCGACGACTCTGTCTCTCATCACGGTGTAACAGTAGCTGAAGACGACGAGGTCCAGAGGGGGTGAGGGTGAGCACGCGCGCGCGTGTGTGGGAGGCGGAGGGGGAGGGGGAGGGAGAGAGGGAGAGAGGGAGGGAGAGGGAGAGGGAGAGAGAGAGAGAGAGAGAGATATGAGAGCCGGGGGGAGATAAATGTAGGGCGCGAGACTGTGCGAGGCACTAATGGGACCTCAGACATCCGAAAAATGTCCAGCGCGGCGCCGCGGCGACGGCTGTCACCACGTGGTCAGGTCAGGGGAGCAGCAGCTGCAGGGGAGCGCGGGGCGTCGAGTGTGGACGGGGAGGGGAGTGGAGCGGGGTGGAGGGGTGGAAGAGCAGCGGCAGCGGTCACGGACGACTCTGCTGCAGCCTGTATGGCGTCGCTGGCGTGGCGAAGACGAATCACGTGACACGCACGCCAGCCGAGCCCCATCGTGCCCTGCCTCGGTGATGGCGCGCAGCTCGCGGCCTCCCGGTCTTGACCCTTTTCAATAAGTCGTCCACAGTCG